ATTGTCAGTCTTTTCATACCTTTTTTTTTTAATCCTCCTTTTTTTCCCCCCAGAACATTTGATACACTGAGGAACCACCCATCCTTTTACCTTTTCAATCACCGGGGGCGGGTGCTATTCCGCTCGCCTGAGGAGGAGCCGTCCTCCGTACGCAACCAGCAGGCTCTTCCCAACCCCATACGGCTACGCAAGCTGGAGCATTTGCACTGAGACTGGCCTCTCCTGCCTGTAACCTGATCAACGTCAGATATTTGTTTTTGTTTAGACAGAGAGGGAGGGGAAAGTGAGAATTCATCTTCCTCTACTTTAATTTGTATTTGTACATAAACTAATATGCTGTCCAAACACGCATCTCTGTCCATAAAAGTGGCCACCACCATATTCAACACTGACTGTGCCAACCCTTCAATTTTTCAAGCAGATTTGTTTGTATATACAGTATGTAAACGCTTTGGAGTCTTAAGATACAGAGACATCTTCCCTTTTTGTCCCTTCTGAACTGAAGTGGGATCTTGCTGTCCTTTATATATTCTTTGTATGAGGGGCATTAAAAAAAAAACCGCCTGTTTTGTTACTGTTTCATTTCATCCACACGTCAGTCTTCAGGAGCCGTCTGGGCAAAATATTGTCAACTGAAATGAGTTTTGTTGTATGAACTGGAGCCTTTTTGTATTTCCTTGATGATTTCCTGGAAGCATAGAGGCTCATTTGTACATCCTGTATACATTAAAGAGGTTTGATTTGTGACACAGGAAACTGACTCAAGGTTAAAGTGTGAGAACAGAAAACATTAGGCCTGCCGCTCTAATGAGACTGTGAACACTATGGTGAGCTAGAAAGAAAAAGGTACATTAATTTGGGTGAAGTTTTATTTTTTCCTTCATTTTACATTTTAAGATTTAACATGTTTTTAATTTAATAAAATGCATACTGATTTTACAATGTGTCAGGATCCTTTTTTAAAAAATATATATTTCATATTCAGAGGCGGGATTATAAAGGGATTAAATCTCTCCTGCAAACTGGAGAGGTTGGAGAGCTGATTAAAGTATTTTGTCCCTGGGAGGGAATTTCTTTAAGTAATGACAATGCAGAGATGTACCTGTGACCTTGTTGCTGCACTGCTGCATCACGAAAATTTCCACCTGAGCTCTTTCTCACGTTGGCCTCTAGGTGGCAGTGTAAGCTGCACCAAATCCAGATAATTCCTCCTCTTCATGGGTTTCAGCTGAAGGTGGTTCTTAGTGGATTTGCATTGAAACACATTCGAGGAGGTTTGTTCCAAATAAATTAAAGTGGAGTGGAGTGATCCATCCAATGACTTAGGAGGATGACTGTAAAGGTTTCTAGTTTGTTTTTATATGGTTCAGAATATTGTAGAAAACCTCTTAATGTTTTTATTCTTGGTGGAAAGGTTGAGTACTAAAACAGAAAAGCAGAAACAAAACCAATCCATACTGATGAAAGACTTCACTCTTTACAATAGTTTTATCTCTTCAGGCCTCTGACATTATTCAGATAAAGGTCAGTTGCACTGATAACAAACAGTGAACACCAGTGACGAAGGGTTGCAAGTACAGTAGACGTTGCTTTGTTTTAAGGGATGTTAAGGGAGGTTGGGGAACTACTGCAGTTAGTGTTGATGCCATATCCCACCATATTATAATATAATATATAACATTCATTGTTTGTTTGAAACAGACACAGTGTTCATAATAACGACATAATAACAGCCTTTGTTCTTCTCTGTAACAGTTTTCTTTTTACTGAAGATTTCTCTTTAAAGGCTGAATGTTTGGATGCAAAATGTACAATAGTTTTAACATTAAAGGTTATTAATTACCCCGTAAAGGTAGTAAATACACACACACAGAAGATACCATTCTACCTGTGGTTTATTTTTTGTTTTGTTAAAAAAGAGTAGGTTCATAAAACTTTCCATTTTATATACGTATTTAACAGTTTACAAAATTGGCTTTAAACATTTCATTCAAAATATTTCTTATACTCTGAAATAAACAAATTCACAAAAATAATCTATATTCCTTATGAACATTAAAAAGTAGTGTACATCTGTCATAAAAACAAGGAAAAACAAAAGGAGGAGCGCTAACGTGGGTTCATGTAAAAAAAAGGCAGCAGAGGGCAGATTACCAGCTGTTAATGTTCAACAACAGGTGACTGTCGACTGAGCCCGGACAGATGCAGAAATTCCTCCCAATAAAGTTAAAACTCTGGGAATCAATGGAGTGTTTGTGGTGCTGTGGAGGAATTTAGAGGACTCTCTGTGTGTTTGTGAGTGTTGGAGGAGTAAACCGACAGCTGCGTTCACTGAAATCATGTCCTATTGCTGTAATGGCAGAACAGAGGAGAACGGTGCTTCATCAATAAACCATTAAACACAACCGTCTTGCAGAAGGTCTTTCTAGGGCACAAGTCCAAAAACCAACTGGTGTTCGTCTATTTCAGCTTTAGAAAGCACTACTGTGTGATGTTTGTCTCCAGGATCATGCCAACGCAACTGTCGAATCTGTCACAAAAGGGACCCAATTTGGATATTTAAAAGCCAATTTATTAGGTTATGACAAACATGTGTGATGGTTAACCTTTTTTTGGGACTTTAAGACTGAACAAGCTAATCAGGGTTGGGCGATATGACGATATATAGCCTGAGATTCTGCCATAGCTCTATCTCCTTAATATGGCTACATTGGATATACAGGATGTTTGCATCAATGTGATGTAGTACCTTGATCTGTCAGATATTTTATTGACTGGATTAGCCAAAAACAGTATCTTGCAATAGTTTCTCAATTGAACTTCCAGAAAACTGATCACAATAAACACTGCTGCTACTACTAATCACATATACGCTCGTAGATTTGATCCATATCGCCCAACCCGGATGCTGTTTATCAGTATTACGTGATATGGATAGGAAAACATTAGATAACAGTATCAGTTTGGTAAAAAAATAAAATAAAATAAAAATCAGTGCATTCTTTATGCAGATATAACACTCAGAATATGAAATGTACCTGGGCGGACCAAATTTCTCCTGTTAGCCACAAATCTACATAAATGCACAAACATTTTATTACTCATAGAAAAAAAACAGTTGCAGTGTTACAAACACTTTTCAGACCAGCTGAAGAAAGTTCTCAATCTAAAACATAACAACAGGAATGACCCTGTCCCACCCTCCCTCTGCCATTTGAGCATCTGACAGCTTATTGTGAATCTGTCTAACGGAGTGTGTGTGTGTGTGTGTGTGTGTGTGTCTGTCTCCACTGAACAATGTGCCGATACAGACAAAAGCCATGTGGATGTTTAAGGCATCTGTCAATATAAAGAGGATTATCTTTAAAGTCTCTTGACTAATCTGGAGTGGATCTGTCCTGAAGGCCCCTCCTCCAGTTAAACCCCTCACCCTCCACCTCCAACAGGATGTGATGTAACAGAACAGGAACAGTGGGAGCATCTGCGATAAGTGCATTTGATTTTTTTCTCCACCTCCAGTCCCCCAGTTTGTCTTTTTGAAGGCTACTCAACAAGGACGTCTTTTTTTTTTTTACGGTGGCAAATCCAATGGTAAACACATTTCCCGAGAAGAGTAGCTTCATTCCTTTTCCTTGTAACAGCGCAAAGATGGCTTTCGTCACTAACTGCCGTGATCGTTGGGAAGCTCTGAGGGTGCTGCGTGCTTCTCCTCCACCTTAGCGAGGGCCGTCTCCAGCTGCTGGATCAGTACCCGCTTCTTGAACCTGCCAGAGAAAGGCAAAGGAAATTAGAAAGAAGCAGGGAATAAAGGGAGTTTCTAAAAACAAACCGGGGGGAGATTCATGTAGGTGAACCTGCTTTAAAAGGTTATGAAAATAATCGCAGTGTGCTTATGACTCATTGTTAATAGCTGCAGCTCTTCAAGACATCTGTTTCTTACCTGACAGCCTCTTTGATAGCATATTGGATGAAGTACTTCTGAACATTAACTGGTCCTTTCACCTGCTGCAGTAGTCTGAGTATTGCCTCGTAGTCTGAGAGAAAACACACAGCCATATGTTCTCAATATGACACTTCAGCAGATTAGGATACAATGAACGTTATGTGATACACTGCACCGGCTCATACTCACTTCGCCCCGGTTTGCGGACCTCCTTGATGACCCGACTCCTCAGCTCTGCTTGGCTGCCATCTAGTGGGGCTATGAATATGGTCTCGAGCGCTGCGGGGTCAGCTTCACTGATCTCGAGCTCGCTCTGTGGACTCAGTCGCTCACAGTTGTGTTTCTCCTCCAGCGGCTGCTCATCTAGATGATCTTCTGCTAGTCTCTCCTCCATCATGTTGATGTCCTCGACCTCATCTGCTACCCCCATCCCGGCCTTCTCCTCTAGGCTCAGTGAAGATGGGCTTTCTGCTACAGTGTCCAGCTCAGGGGGCCAGATCTCCCCCGACTCAGGCCCAAGGACCCCGTCCCCGTTACTCTCAGCGACCACAATGTTGTTGCCATCCACTTCTGTGGGGATAACAAATAATTTAACACTAATATTCAGTGCTGTTTGTGCAACATTTCCCCATCAGTTCCTCATTGTCTATGTGTCCTATGATTAACACATCCAGCCTCACTACAGTCTTCTTACCTTTGTGCTGTGGGATGGGTTTGAGGAGGTTCTGCTGCCCTTGAACCCCTACCGGACTCTTCCCCGCCGCCACATGGTTGTTGTTGCTTGGTGGAGTCTGTGGCCGCCGCAGTAACGGGGACATACTCCGCCGTCTCTTCATAGTAGCACCTGAATTGGGATCGCTAGAATTTCCTCTTTTCTTATTTTGAGGGCCCGCTACAAACTCATCTGCCTCATCAATCATCATCCCCTGAGATAAACGACAAAACAAAGCATTAAGGAATGAAAGGAGTAAACGCTGAATGAAGACCTCTCCTAAAGTGTATCGGCCAGTATTTTTGTGTTGGTATATTTTTTACCTTCTTATCCTGCTTGAAAGGATTCCCAAAAGTGTGCAGGCGTTTCGGTTGGTCAGGGTCAATCTCTCTCAGAGGAGACGGCATCATTTTTAGGTACTCCTGATAGTTTCCCATCTGAGCTACTGGAATGCTGTGCAGATAGTCTGACAACCACAGAAAATGTCATCAGTAGTAATAAAATACTGTACTAACTACACAGGATTGCCTATAGATTGTTTTGTGTTGGTTTTGGGTGATTTGATTAGTATGAAATTAGAAATGTATGTTAAAAGGTCCAGTGTGTAACATTTACGAGGCTCTAATGACATAAAAATTGAATATAATATTCATAGGTGGGTTTTCATTAGTGTATAATCAGCTGAATATAAGATTTGTTATGTTTTTGTTACCTTAGAATAAGCTGTTTATATCTACAGACAGGTCACCTTTCATGGAGTCCACCATGTTGAACTGCCATGTTTCTACAGTAGCCCAGAAGGGACAAACCAAACACTGATTATAGATAGGGGCATTAGTTTCTCCTTCATGCTTGGAAGGGAAGGGTGAAGTGACAGAGTTGCGATTTGCAACTACACCACTAGATGCTACTAACTTCCACACACTGGACCTCTTACTGGATCTGCATACATTTTAAATTAAGTAATACTTATAATGATAAGTAGGATTTTATACCTTCGTCTTGCCCTCGGATCAGTTTCTGTGACGTCCGCAGTAAATTGGAGCGCATTCGGGTGAGCTGATCCAGAAGGTTCCGTCTTGGGATGTCGTATGCATTTCGATAAGCTTGAGGTTTTAAGTCCTGTGAACACATCGGCACATCTAGTCAGAGAAAACCCAACAAACATTGCCCTGTTTTTCCTCTAACTCCCCCCCCAACACAAAGTATGTCATGCTTTTCAGATATGTCCTTTCTGTCCTAAATCTACCTTGTTGAGAAGGGCAATCTGGAAGCCAGCAAACTCTTTGAAGTTGATGTCCACCAGGCGAAGGGGCCCCTCCCCGGTGATTCCCTGCAGCAACTGCTTGAAGTCCCGGCGGTGAGCCAGAGAGAGAGAGCTGGAGTGATTCTTCACCTTTATGCCAGTTTCTTGTGGAGCTTTCTTCCCCACAGATACGATCAGACGATCAGATTCCATCTTTGCCTTTATGCCAACAAAACAGGGAAAGGAACACAGTTCAGTTCAGTTCACAGTTCAGTTTAGACAGAAATTACATTTTGATAGGGAATATTGATTAGAGCATTTTTCTATTTTGATTCTTTTGAGTATTTTATATAAATAAGTTCATATTTAAACACTAATATAAAGAAAATCCAAGCAATGCTTGCTTTCTTTATATTTTAACTGTCAAACTCAACAATGCAGTTTTATGTTTACAACAATATAAACATTGTACAACTCCTCTACCACATAATAGAACAAAGAGGAAGAGTTTGTTTTCCAAATGTTTGGGAGACAAAGATAAACTGCGTGGGATATTTTCATTTTATGAACACTCATTACAGTGACAGTGTTGATTATTGTTACAGCAAAGACATACCAGACATGATTGTTGTTTTAGTCCAAATTGCAATCCCAATCTGTAACTAGTTTCATCTGTTGAGTTTAAAATGAGGCTACATTAAAACAAGCATTTCAGTTGCTCATAACTAAAAATATTGGAACGTTTTACAGCTGTATTCAAAATTACAAACACAAATCAAACCTTAGAAATCGTCAAGTTGTTGCTTCATATAACTTAAGTTGTTGCCTTGTGTGTTTAAGTGCCTTGACTCGCCAATCAATTTGGAGTTTGAATCCCATGTTATGATTTTTGGAAACACGTCTGTGTCTTCGCTCTGAAGCTAAAGTGTGTCTCTCGTTCAATGATACTTGAGTCTTTACCTGCTGGCTGAGCTTCTTCAGGTAAGAGATAACACTGTAACTCAGGCCACAGTCCATGGTGTCTGCAATAAGATTAGGTGCACCCATCATCCTCAACGCCTTTTTTAAGGGCTGTCAGAAGATAGCAAGAGAAAATTCTGGATGTTAGTTATATGCAGAAACAATATATGTACTGAGTATTTTAGTAAAGGCAGCATGTGACATAGCATTAGCTTACCATGAGGTAGTATGGAGGCATTGTCTTCAGGTACATTTCAAAAGCCTGCCGCCACTTGAGGTTTGGTTTTAGTTTGTGCACTTTAAACAAGTCATCTGAAAGGACACAAAAAAAGTTAGACTGTCTGAGAATAAAGTTTCAGTACACTGCATCAGTGACCAGTCAGCCATCCCCCTGCACCTCCTCCTCCTCCTCCTGCTGCTGCTGCTGGGCTGACTGTTGTACACACATCAATATTCAGGTAGGGAGTCTAAAATGAGCAGGAAGACATAATATTTATCCTTTTATTTCGGTAGTGCTGCTATCCTATTAAAGATTAACTGTTCACTAAGTTGCTCTGTTATAAGCCTGTTACTTGTGATTATTTGTATAGCTAAAGATGACGGGGGGGAAATTGTAGATGATGAAGCGACCCAGAAAAGAAAAAGCTTTTTAAATTTAATAACAGCTCAGACCTACTGACCCAGAAGTTTTAAGGCCACTTTAAATAAACAGTTTACTGCTATATGTCTTACCGAGGAGTGGGAGAAGGACTGGGTAGTTGTAAGGCATGACAAACAGGTTAACACAGGTGAGAGTGGTGCTGGCTTTAAGGTAGCCAAATGGCTGTCCCAGGTCATTTTGCTTTGCACTGCTGCTAACAAACACCTGAGGAGGAAACAACAAAGAAATCAAATATAATTTTGTTGTTTGAGTGTAAAAAATGAACTTTAGAAAACTTTGTAGATATGTGCTTCGTGACCACCTTCATAAGTGAGGCTCATTACTAATTCACAACCAAAAAAACAGCAAAAGGTGAAAAGACATTTTGAATAAAACTAGCAGCCTCATTATTCCTGGTTTTCAGAAAAGTCCTAGAGGCAACACCAGTGACAGTAAAAACAAGCCAACAGAGCTGATGGGTGTGTGATTATCTACCATACCTGCCAGCACATGTGTGGAGACTTCCTTTCCAAAATGTACTGGGTGAGTGGAGATGGCTCCAGTTCATACTTGTCAAAGGGAAGCTTGTCTATCACCATGGGTTCACAGTCCACACACGAGAAACGCACCATGGGATGTGCAGAGCGAGGGGGCTGGGAGCAGGAGATGGAGATATGTGAAGAAATTGTTTGACATATTTATCTATGGTATGGAGAAATGTAATGTCTTTGGAACTCAACAGATAATGGAATTCACAGAATGAGTTTGCAGAGTTGATTAGATTGGCTGTAAGTCAAAGTTACTGGCTCATGTCAGCTAGAGAAAAAGAGGACTGCCAATGAAAGAGAGAAAGAGAGATAAAGTGACAGTAAAAGAGAAAGTTTGTGTAAATGTGTCTCTGCTGGGAGACTACAGAGATACACACACATAGACACTATCAGTAGGAGGGGATAAACAGTATAATGTCAAATACAGTCTGGAGTATCAATGCATTGTCTACGTACGCAGCTTCTCTTTGCTTACCAGGGTAGGAGAATTCTGGTCCGGCCAGAAGGACTCTGGTATGGGCCAATGCCCAACCGGAACCCCTGTCTTCGGGTTCGGTCGCACATAGATGAGTTTGTGACAACTGTGCCACGGCTGTTGGCTAAAGGATGACACAGGACGACTGGACTCCACTGCGTTGTCTGTAAAACAAAAAAAGATATGATATAATACAGTATAAGGGAAAAACCAACCAACTATCAACCACATCCTAACATACACACACAAATAATGGGAGTCACTGGTAAGAGCTTTTAGTACCTCAAACCTTTTTCTCTCGTTTTACCAATAAAGCAGTGTGAGTCAAAATATCTCAGCAGCCTTCTTTGCTTTTTATACTCCTTTATATTTGGCTGATCTAGAATATGCACTCAGTTCTCCTTTTAGTGTAAAACTGCCCTGTGGTTATCCAGGATAAGAAGATTCTGTTCTGCTTTCAGCAGTTTTACTGCCCTCAGTGTTTTGCTCTAACTTACTGTATGAAATGTGATGAGATAATGTGTTCAGAAACGTAATAAAATATACTTGGTTCAGAGCGGATGAGCCTATCAAAATTGACTGTGTGTTCACTCACCTTCCCCAATGAGAGGCGGATCTGGTCCTGTCTTCTCAAAATTAATGACAACACCACTTTGCACCTTCTGGACCAGAGACTCCAGACACTGGTTCAGCATCCTCTGTGTCCGCACACAGTACGATCGCCCTGAGAGAAAGCAGGAGGCACAAAAAAAAAAAGATGACACATATGCATGATGATTATGAAAAAATAAATGGTGGTGTGAATACAGGACCCACGTTGGGGCACCAAAAGAAGAATATTCCAAACCTCCAGTGACTTCACACATCTGGGTGATGGCAGATTCATCTGTGGGGACGCTGCCAAGCTGCTCGTTGTCTGGTGTGGCTGCTCCTGGCAGCCGCAACACCAATGCAAACAGACGCTGGTCCCAGCGAAAGGGCTCTTTGGTCAGCTCACTGCCTGCCAATGGAGAGTTCAGAGGCAGGTGCAGCTACACAACGGACAGGGTAAAGAAAGAAAGGAGTTTTATATGGGAAAACTGCCATAGGTCCCCATTTGCACAGTTTTACAAATCTTAATTGTGTCATTACAAAGTCAGAACAGATCACTATACTACAAAGAAAGTACATAGCAGCACTACTGAATTTGTTGGTGTTCTCACCTCATCTGGCACTCCAGAGCTGTGTGTAAGCTTGTTCCCATCAGTGATAGTGATGATCACAGATGGCTCGAGGAAGAAGGGGTTACGGCCCTGAGAGGGAAACAGTAACATTCAGCAATTAAATCCAAGTTGAAGAAAACAGTGACCCAGATTATTGTCACTAGTCTGCGGTCTTTTCTTTATGTTCCAGACCAAAAAACATCATTCTGGGTTCTGTGTCTCAAAGAGATTCCCACTTTCTAAAACACAAGATGTAACTGGTCTCTCGTGCTTACAGAATTAGCTAAATACAAGGATACCGTTTAAGCAGAGGTCCACCTAGACACAGTAATTAGTATGGTATTAGCATCACAGCTCTGATAACCTCCTGGATACTAATATGAACTGTGTGTTGCTGCTTGTAATCTTGGAGCTGTAAGCTGCAGAGTGTCCTTGTATTACTCGTTAAGGACAGAGGCCTCTACCACTGTGCCGTAGGGTCAGCCTTGTCTCATTCAAACACACAGAGACTCCCTATTACACACACAGCATGCACATAACCTCTATCCTTGCTTGGTTGTAGTAATCTATCTCTGCCTTCAAGCAGGAGTTTGGAGAAAAGATGTGTGTGAGGAGCTGATGACAGTGCTAACTGAGGCAAGACAGAGTGGATTAAGTTGCAATCAAAAGTCAGTATTATTCTCTTTGTCTCCAGGTAAAGGAATAAAGGACTGCCAGATGAAAGCTTTGTCACAAACATTATCAAAACCTTGATTTATCCAGGAAAAGTCCACATATACTGTATGCGTTGGCTAGATCAGAAAAGCCTTGTTTCCACACACAGTTGCTTGTCAGAACTAATTTTGTCTAGTGTAAAAAAATATTACACAAAGAAGAAGAAAAAGAAAAAGCCAATGAATACTAAAATAAAAAAGTTCTTGACAATCACAACCAATCCATCCCTAAATGATAACAAAGTATATATGTCACTGTCTTGTCAGTCAGTGTGTATACGGTGTTAAATGTGTATCTAATCTCATATTGTCAACAACAAAAATAAGAACACAGATTAACTTGTTTTTTATACGGTCACATCAGTGAGTATTAATTAAAAGGACAAAAAATAATAACACATGAAACACTACGGAGAGTAATTCTTCTGTTCTGAAAATGCATAGCAGGATGTTGACATGCAATACCTGTCCATAGTTGTCGATGCCTGAGACGAGACGGTTGAGGTTAAGCAGGTCAAAGGCTGTGCGGAGGGCGTGACCTAACGTAGTCAGCCCAGATGCCTGCAGGTTCTTCAGCTCACACATGAAGGTGGCATGGTTCTCCTTCCAGCCTGCCTGAAATACATACATTGACAGTATACTGAATGCTCTGCACAGAAAACTGCGATACAACACAGGAGCAGAGGAGGCCTGAAGTCACAGTGCATGGTGAACAGCCACAAACCAAAATAGATCCACACCCACAGATACCCATACTGTAATTACAAAGAAAACAGAACAAGTTTTGTTCACTGACGACCACAAACTCATTCATGTCAAGCATATGACTGCCACCTTTTATAAAAAACAGTTTAAGTCTTAGCAATCCATTGATTATGTGCAGCATGACATAATAGTAACCATAAAATGAGATCAGGTTGTGTCAAGCTCTGGAAATAGAAGATAATATTGTTGAAATGCAGGCCCACATTTGAGCTGGATGGGGCTGTTTAAGAAAGAGTCTAATTTCATACATGACAAGCATCCAAAAATACACTTCCCACTGCAGCCTGTCCTCTCTCCTGACGGAGATATACTCCCACAGGAGAGGATGTGGGTGTGTAACTTCTCTTGGACCTTACTACTGCAGCTTCATGCCTAATCTAAAGATGACCTGCAAGTTAACCACATCCCTTATCAGGGGAGACAGCCGGAGAGGCAAGAGAGACACAGAGAGATGAAGAGTGAGAGGGGGAAAAAACTTGAAGTGCCAGCATCAACACGTATGCTCTGAATCAGGCCAGTGGCCAGATTTTTGGGATAATCCTGGGATATCATTCCAAAGCCATGATTTATGTGGAATTTCTAGGAAAGTGCTAAGTGTTGAATGACGTTAGATAAATATTACAGTCATACAAGCAACATCACTGAGCAGTGAGGTAAAACTGAAGGTGGAAATACATTCACAGTGTTAGTAGGGAAGTAATAACCCAGACATAGACTGTTGTGTAAGGCCAGCAGAAATGTAAGGCATAGCTTGCACTCAATAATTCAGACTACAGAATATTTCTATTTTCTTCTCGCCCAACCTCCTCTCTCTCGCTCTACATCAACAATTTATTGCCTCTGTAACTGTGCAATCAGAGTAGCCCCATTCAGTATAACCTTGTCCTTTCATCATAATCCTCGATGCACAAAGCAGGCAGAAACAACAAAGGAGAGGGCAAACGAAGGCAAAGAGAGGAAGAGCTGGAGGAAGAGCTGGAGGAAGAGAAGTTGAGGACAGACTTTACAACAAAGGGAAAAGCACTTCAGCAGCACCTGGATGATTTAATGCGAGTATGAGATCAGTTGGAGTATTTAGCTGAGATGTTATACACAAGACTATTTTAGTGGGACGTACGAAACAATGATCTGGACTTGCTGCAGGGGCAGTGACTGAATGAAGTAGGGAAGCATTACATGAATGACAGCGTCCACTTGTAATATTTTGTTATGACCCCACTCCTACACATCCGCCTAACAGAAGAGAAATTATGCAATAATGTTTTAAGTGCTGGAGCAGCGAGCTCAAAGTGGTCCACTTGGAGGTCAAATTGAGCCAGATATAGCCCGACAGTTATTTTGCTCTTGCACAGCTGTAAACATTAACACTGAGCAAGACTGTACATGTGTTAATTGGGAAAGAAACCCCTTCAATATTCATATTTATCTGTGTTTTAGTTAAATCTAAAGAGTGCATGCTAGGGAGAAAGTATGCTAAATACACAATATTGATATTAAAGTTCTATTATAAATGTTTGATTAAAATGATTTTTGAGAAAAGCAAAGTAGATCTGCTTATCCATAAAAAGTTAGTGTTACATTATGCAAAAAAACCCACTTAATTTTACATAAATTTACCCAAAATACTGTAAGTGAGTAAAAAATAATTAAAGTTCAAATATAAAAAGCCCCAGAATGTCAATAATAAACTAGTCAACTAGTCAAAAGTATTCAATACATAAATAAAAGTGAGTTTATTTTTTTTAAATATAATATTAATTGACTGCAGAACGTTTAATCAGCTGCTAAAATAAAAATTATGTATTTTACAACCCATGAAATTTTTCTCCTATATTGTCACTGTGAGCACATGTTTAATTATTCACACATTTCCATTGTCTTTGTTGCTTCCCTAATACCCTGGCATATACACAGAGTGTGAAATGTACTATATTGTTATAGAGTTTGTACTCAATTATTACAAGAGAGAGACTGTAATATTGTCACTTCTGGTCTGGCGCTCTTCAAGAAGCCGCAGCTGCTGAAGAGGTGAAACAAACTACACTGAAATTAATCTTCAACAACAACATATATATATATATATTTTAGAAAAAACAACCAATATGGAATTAAGATTTGAGTCCCTTTTGACTTGCACTATACTAGATATGTCTCTGTATCTATCCTCTAAGCTCTCAGAGCAGCAACTACTATTAAAGATGAAGTAATTGATTACTTTCCAGCTCTGGCATTTGGTATTTTGGTCATGAGGCACGGAAACAACAAAATGAGACTTTATAAAAGGAAAGCAAAATATTCTATATGCCTTCAAGCATTAATGACAAGGGATAGAGCAAGTACTCGGCATATTGTGTTGAGAGTAGTACAGTGTTGTTTGTAGAGTTAGAGCAAGCCAGGAGCTTTCTAATACAAACCAGCCACTGAAGCAGATCAGGGACTTCAGGGGTTCATGTGGGTACTAAAGACTGTATTTTATTGGGCATGAAAAAGCTCAGTGAGAGATGTGTGCCAAGTCATAAAACAAGTCAACAGATTAGTAGTGAGGATAGCTTTGCTGACATGAAACCCCTGAAATTATTGCAGTGATTCACAGGTTGTATGTTGGGTGTTCATGAAAACTAGATAGTTTGTATGGTGGGCCATAATGGTCATAAAGTCGGCATGACAAATAATTATAATATGAATAATGATTTCTTCTAACGAACTCACATATATATATATATATAAAATAAATAAATAAATAAAAACTAATGATGAAGGGGGCTTATCAACTTTCAGCCCGGATTGACCAATGGCAAAGCGTGGATGATGAAAGGGGCGGAGTCGAGGATGATCGGCGGGCTTCTTGACCAATCGGGACACGGCACTTTCAAAAAAAAGAGCGACGTCACAGGCGATAATAAATCTCTCCGCCTCCATCTCAACGCCCGAGACTTTTCTCAACACAAAAGCAAAATGTCCGCTGGATGGTCGGAGGCAGTGCTAGCTCCGGGTCTGCGGGTATTCGGAGCAGAATTTAAAAAAAAAAAAAAAAAAAAAAAATATATAAATTTTTTTTTTATTTACGCCACCGGGAAGCCGCCCAACACTTGACTACAAAACCAGAAGGACAATAAAAAAAAAAGCCTCACTGACAGAAAAAAAAAAAAAAACGTGCGGCTTTATTAAACGTTAAAAAAAAAAAAAAAAAATGGTATCAGTTAGCTAATTACCTTCACTCCGTATGGTGGATCATCGAATGTAACTAGCATGTACCTGTCGCCTCTACTAGCCGGGTCTCGGGCACGCAGCTGTCAAAAAAAATATAAGAAAACCAAAAACAACATATATTAATTTCGACCAATCTTGCCCAAGGAACCCTAAGCTCTCCAAAGGTGCACACTTGCTGGAAAAAAAAGTCGGGGTAAAATCGTTTTTCTTTACCTTCATAAAGACCTCAACCGCGCCTTTAGCAACGTCCAGATACGTCGTACCCAAATAAGTGCGCTGATTCATAGAGGCGGACGTGTCTAACAGGAAAAGTAAAATAGGCATTTTAAATGTAATGCCGCAGTTGTATGCTTTTCTAAAATAACTGTTATCCACATATGACCTATCGTGCGGCCAAACAGTTCACACATGTGTGTATATATTTGTTATAATAAGCCCCCCCCTCCAGTAGAGGGCCGTTGCCTCTCTCTCTCTGCCCCTCCAGAGCTCTGGCTCAGCTCGCGCTGTTCAACTTCTGCTCCGAACCGAATGGAACGCCCCGCTCCCTCCGCTGCGACGCCATTGGCCGAGCCGCGTTCCACTGACCACGCCCCCCCCTCCCAGTATATAAATATATATAAAACAAGGTCGAGATGGCTCGTGAATACAGTACATCCGCTTAACCGTGTAGTGTGTGTGTGTGTGTGCGTGTGTGTGTGTGCGTGTGTGTGTGCGTGTGTGTGTGTGTGTGTGTGTGTGTGTGTGCGTGTGTGTGCGTTTTAATGGGCGGATATTCAAAAAGTATGTTTTTATTTTATTTATGGCTCTTGTGTGTGTGTGTGTGTGTGTGTGTGTGTGTGTGTGTGTGTGTGTGTGTGTGTGTGTGTGTGTGTGTGCGTGTGTGTGTGTGTGTGTGCGTTTTAATGGGCGGATATTCAAAAAGTATGTTTTTATTTTATTTATGGCTCTTGTGTGTGTGTGTGTGTGTGTGTGTGTGTGTGTGTGTGTGTGTGTGTGTGTGTGTGTGTGTGTGTGTGTGTGTGTGTGTGCGTGTGTGCGTGTGTGTGTGTGTGTGTGTGTGTGTTGTGTGTGTGTGTGTGTGTGTGTGTGTGTGTGTGTGTGTGTGTGATGCCATAAACTAGCCTATCATCCTGTATTTAAAAAAAAAAAAACAACTACAAATAACTGAGAGTTAAAGCTGTATAAATCATATTAAAGGACCTGGATTTTCTTCAAATGTGTTGCCCCCCCCCCCACACACACACACACACACACACACTGTGTTTCTCCCTACTGTCACTCTCTTGACGCGTTCAAGGCCCCACAAAAGGTCCGTCCTTCCGACTCTAAAGCATAACATAACGAACACGTGCTGTCCCATGGTGAAGTAACCCATAATATTTAAGTTGGACAGTGTTTAAGTCTGTGAATCAAGTGCTTTACTATTTGCATTTTGTGCTGCAAGGGCAGAATTAAGAGAAAATGCACATTTGGGTAGAAACAAACATTAGAGTAGCGATAGAACATACAAATATTTAGATATTTAAAAAGCCCACCACGTAAATACTATTACAAATATAACACTGGTCATTTTCAAACCTTTAAAAACCACAAAAAGTACCAGCTGTACTTCATATTCTCTCATACTCTTAATAAATCCGACAGCACTTGAGTGCAGCATTGCTGTTACAATCAAGAGTATTCCTACAGTAACACTTACTGAAACACTTTGTAAATAAATCACGCACAACCTCAAATTTATATTTATTATAACATAAAAAAGAGATATAAAAAAAAAAACACTTAATAGATTCAGAGGTCAGTGGAAAGTCACATTAAACAAAACGCCTACCTGTAGCAGGATGAAGGTTTTTGTCTTCCTTGAACATGTGTCTCAGCTTACAGCGTACAATAAGAGCTTTAACCTGTAGTTAATCACATAAAATACACAAATATCAACACAATTTTTCAGCTTTTATAAAATCATCAGGACGAATCAATTTAGCACAATTAACACCAAAATATTCCACACGTTAATTTTGCGTTTATTATCATTGTTTTTCTTTATTATTTCTTTTAGCACGTTGCGGGGTTACCACAGGCCACGTCACGTCACGTCGTTTACGTCCCGCTCCGTCGACGTCCTGCACGCAGCGTTTCGCCATTCCGGCTCGTCCCAGAATGCACCGCGAGCTCTGCAGCATATTGACAAAGACAACAGGGCTGGAGAGCAACAACAAGAGGAAGAGGAGGGTGGGATCAGCTCTGATGGTACACGAACCCGAGTTGACGACAAGGTAAAGAGTCGCTCTCACTTTGTGGCTATGAAATAAATAAAACGGCGACGCTGCGTTTAGACAACGTTAAGTGGCTATTAGCTCACATCTGGAGGAAGAGGAGGAGGAAGAGGAGGAGGAGGAGGGAGGTTGTCGTAGCGTTAGCATTAACACTGTAAACGATGTTTTTATTACAGTAACAGAGCAGGGGGATGTCTTTAAAGTGTAGGGTTAACCTGAAGCGGTGTTAAAATGTCCTAGTTGCTACATTTATAACCTTTAATTTGTAAATAAAAGGGTTTTTTATTTTTGTGTTTGTTTACGTTGTCAGCTACGATTACGCTGCAGTTTAAAGGCAGCTTACTTTTTTATTTTTACCCCCTCATACACTTAATATAAATACGACTATAACTCGTGCCAACCTTTGAGGTAATGTCCCCGCAGATAGTAGAAGAAACACCTCTTGGATGAAGCTGCTGTAAATAAAAGGAGGTCATCGTGATTTTTTTTTATTTGTGTAAAGTTGAGAACAAAAAGTGTTGCGACACCGCCACGAGTCAGGTTCCTCGAGCTCTAACCGTGTAAACACACAGAGGCACGTGCTCACGCTCTGTTGTTGTTATTGTTGAACTTTAATAATGATAACAGTCGTGTTGCCCTTGCTTACTGAGTGCACCTCAATGCATTCAATTATTCTACATATAAACCCCGTGATAATCCTGCGTTAGATCATATGTCTGTTTATAGCAACAGGTCTGAAGAATGGGTCCTTTCACAGTCAGTGTTATTGTGAATTTGCCTGCGGACAGCAGTAAGGTGTAACTGGAAGAAGAGCTAGACTGATAGATTAGGAAAACAAAAGTAACCAGACATTGCAGTACTGAAATGACAAAGCTGTATTCGAGATGGTTTAGGTTACTTAGCATTGTTTACCACTTTTAAGCTCTCAAATGTCCACAATGGTGTTGTCCTCAAAAGTCCAGTATCAGTTGGGTTGTGGGTGAAACCTTGGAAGTGTGATACACTGTAAGCTTCACTATATTTGTCACATATAAAATATTAAGGTGCAGAGTAACAGCAGCTGTTGGATACATAAATGGGATAACAAATGTAATATTTCCTCATTAAATGTGGTGGAATAGATATTGAAAGTGCCTAAACATGAGCATCACCTGTGTCTCTCCACAGTACCTGAGGCGATGAGAGCGGGAAGTGCCATTTCCACCTAACGGGAGTTTACACAGCTTGACAGTTTGTGGAGAGAGGGGTGGGGGGCCCAGGCAGACCGTGGACGGGGAAGGGGAAGAGCTCAGCTGGAGCCAATGCAGCAGCAGCATCGACAGCCTGAGCTGGTGGAAGGAAGCCTTCCCGTGTTCGTGTTCCCCACTGAGCTCGTCTTCTACGCAGATGAGCAGACGTCTCACAAGCAGGTGCTCACCCTCTACAACCCCTATGAGTTCGCTCTCAAGTTTAAAGGTCAGTTGGAAGAGTCCTTCTATTTGTATGCTGTATTATTTTTGTTATATGCTCCTGATTATCAAACTAATCTGTTTTATTTATTTTTTATTAGTGCTGTGCACAGCGCCAAACAAGTACACTGTGGTGGATGCCACCGGAGCCGTCAAGCCACAGTGTTGTGTTGACATGTGAGTTTGTTTGGACTCATTATTTTATTATGTAGTGATATAGCACTGAAGGGCCTAAATTCCTAATCTAGCTGGTAGTTCTGTGGATTCCCGTCCATGTTTTTACTGTTTATTGCTTACTTTATTCAATATTAACGTGTCAGATGGTTGTTTACACAGCCCACTTAACCATCTGAAGTAAAGAGTCTATCTAACTTTCTGTGTCCACGCAGAGTAATCAGACACAGAGATGTGCGGGCATGCCATTACGGGGTGTACGACAAGTTTCGACTGCAGGTGTCGGAGCAGAGTCAGCGGAAAGCTCTGGGTCGCAAAGAGGTGACAGCCACACTCCGTCCCTCGGCCTCACAGGAGCCGCCTAGCCCCCGGCCCCAAGATGAGGAACGCAGAATCAGAGAGCAGTTTGCAGACAGCGAGTTTTTTGAACAGACTGCATTTCAGACAGGTAGGATGAAAGACTGTTGCAGGGTGTGATCACTAGATGGGGCCAAATGCTCATAAACTCAATTATAGGAACTTTTTACTGTTTACAGGACACTGTGTGTTACATTGCTTTTTGTGGCCCGTGAACATTTCTTATCTTATCTAGTATAAAATAAGCTATTTGTCCCACAAACATAGTATAACAATAATAAATATGTTATAATCGTCTCCTGGTAGGTGTTTACCATGTGCCTGTTTTCACTGACACCATGTTTACCCCGCTTCCCATTCAGATTGCTGCGTACATAGTTACATCTTTTTGTATAAACCAAAACATAATTTTCATGCTATCAAAACAGTAGGGAAATAATTGTGCAGGTAATCACTGTCAGACTGTTATTTACAGTTGAATTATGAGCCAAATCCTAAAATGTACTTCATTTTATGTATTTTCTGTAGCTGCATTTACCAGTACACCAATACTGAAGTGGTGGAGTATTCACTCTTCACTTTTATCAGCACGTGCAGAAATGTTTTGCTGTTCTGAGTGCATAGTTATCCTTTCTTTGCCATAAGATTTGCTTGTTAAAGGATATAAGTCTTGTGATTTTCAGTATATTTTGTATTGTCAACAAAAAATAAAGCAAACCAAGAATGCCCAGTTGTTCTAGAAAATGATACAGCTTTCTATAAAATGAAAGTATATATTATTACAGGTTTATGTCCTCAATAGTAATCAATGGACTTGGGGCTAAGAGCCACAGACAGGCAGGGGTCAGTCAGAAAGTACTGAAAGACACACTAACACTGGTTTTTTTCCATGCGATTTGTTTAAAATCTTTAAAATACTGTCAACCACTCTGAGTGATGCTTCTGATGACAGTGTACACATATGTTTGTGTGTGTGCATGACAGAGAGCCGTCCTGTTGCTGGAGGCCCCAGTCTGCTGACGGTGCTGCTTGGGCTGGTGTGTATGGCCGCCCTGATGCTCCCGACGCTGGGCGAGCAAGAATCTACTGTGCCTGTCTACCTCCACTTAAGTGTTAACAAGAAACTTGTAGCTGCTTATGTTCTTGGTGAGTCAAAACAGGGCTACGACAGAATGAGGTTTGCATTGTATGTTAATAATTCTGTTTATGACATTGACAGTATTACTCTCTTTTGTGTCTTGTTACACTTTAGGTCTTCTTACAATGGTCATCCTGCGCACATGACGTGCTGTGAGCTGCGAGGAGGAGTGAAAATGATCTAAACAGGAGAACATTCTCACACCGGAGGCACTGCTACGCTTCAATGAGTACTGACAGCAGGGGGACGGGGTACTAAGTCAAGTCACCCGAGACCCTGAAAAATACAGTTTAGTATACTTGTTTTCAAATCCACATACTTGTGTGAATACATACACAATGCCGAACCGATGCAAAAAGTGTAGACCTCCAGTGTGAATGTCAAAGGTAGTGTGAGAAGAGCTGCCCCCTGAGCAGGGCCCGTGAAGCAACATGCGGCCATTCAAAGTGTTGGCTGGCCTCATGTTCCCTGTGTCTGTATTTTTATTGCCAGTACGTAACAGAATATGGTTAACTTGAGTGTGAAGGACGTGCGAACGTGATACGTGTACATAAAAGCCATTACAGTTTCGTTATGGTATTCACTTGTAACCATCATTATATTGATGTTTTAAAGCATTTTTTGTGTAGACTGAGGACTAAATGCAGTTATTTGCATGTGTGGATACATTATCTGGAAGAGTTTTTATTTGTTTCCAGCAGTGCGATACTTTTACATGTCACCAAAGGAAAGATCTTCTTCTGAAGACCGTGGTTTGTTTGCCGTACTATATCAATGCTTCATTGAACGTTTAATAAAGTCTCAATACAGCAGTCTGGTATAATGTTCATAGAGCAATATCAGGTTATTTTCTACACTTTACAAGTTGGGTCAGGAGGGTGTAGAGCACATAGCACGACAATAAGGCCCTCTGTTAGGTTTGTTATGATGGTTACTGAAAATAATCCGAGTCTGCCTCTAGGGCTGTACGTTATCAGATTTGACAACTGAGAACAGCATGATTTGCTACTGCTTGCGTACCATTTGGTTCCACAGCAGTAAATAAGGGGTTGGGAATGACACTCCTACTCTGGCCCCAGATGCAGTGCTAACATTTTAAATCAGGACAAAAAAAAACAACATGGAACATCAAAACAGCTACACACACATAATAAAGAAATAATTTATTTAGTCCTGATGTCCGCTACGATTGCAATCACAAAAGACACAAGCATGGGCACGGTGTTAGCTAGCTTGGTAGATTACAGCCATTTCCATTATAGACATACAGTATAGTATGCAATTATTTGCTAAATTCATGCCCTGAACGCTTCATAAAATGACTGAGATAAAAAAAAAGATCTTAACAACAGGGCAAGCTGGAGGCTTTTCCACTTTGTATAAAGGAACAAGACATTCAGTAAAAGAACTGCAACCAGGCTTTTGTTTAAATTAAAAGGGCACACTTCCATAAAATGATTTACAATCACTTCCTCTTGTACATACGCATTAAAGGCTACAGAGCCACTAAGGGTGACACAGGTGATGTGGGCACTGAGGCCTCGACAGCTGAAAATCAAGGTGCTAAAAAACAGGCTTAACCTTTACATACTGTGTTTTTAAGATCTTGCTTTGCGTTTCTCTGCTCAAACAGGCGGAAACGTTACAGGATTGAGTGTCCTGTGCAAAAAGCTCTTTTCATAAAAACCTAGCCACAGCAGAAACAGCAGTCTCTTTACTCACAATGCGACGGTGCCATTTTGTTTTTGCTTCACGTTCCAGCAGTCAGTTGATTTGGTGTAAATGACAACACGAATGGTTTCTCTATCACCATCCAATTCTTTTTATAATAAACATTTCTTTCCATAAATAAGAACATTTCGTCAGAAGAAAGAAAACTGAATCATTTCTATACTCTGTTTATCTACAAAAACATCCTGACAAGAACACAGGATACAGAGGAACCTTTAGTGTTGAAATCCCAACAGTGATGATCAAATTACTTCATCCGTAATAAACTGCCAGGTGCATTAATTGCTCATACTTGGCAATTAAAGTTGCAGCAATTCATGGGGGAAGGGGGCATTAAAGTCAGACTGAAAAAGGAAAAGAAAAATACACAGTTCACAGCCTCTATCATAAAAATATCTGCTGAAAACATAACTTCTCTTACAGTAGGACAGTAAGGAAATCTCCATAGTTGTACCCCAGAAGTAGTTTATGTTCCTTTACAAAGAAAACTTCTGCTGTTGAAGACTTGTGCCCACTTTCATCTCACAGCCAATCACAAAACTTAAAACTATGTACGACATTTGACATGGTTAATATGTACATAATTACAACCAAGCAGGAAAACAATAAGTTAAATCTTTTCTTACAAAATCTGCAGACTGCGTACATACAAAAAGGCCTGTGGACAGAAGTTCTCCAGCACAAAAACAGGGAAATGTACACATCCAATAGTCTTTGTTTATTTTATTTGTCCAGTGCTCAATGTCTCTCTCCAGTGAGGGGAACTGGTAGGACAGATTTGAAGTATAGCCACTTATGAAGACAATATCACTACGAAAGCCAAGCACCATCCAAGGTCATCTACTAGCAGCTGGTGCTCACAGTGTCTTCAGTCATTCCTAGTTTCACTAGGCTTATCTCTTACACACAAAAACTCACCCATGGCTTTCACTTCCTTAATTCAAAAACATATCTAGACCCTCAAAACGTAGCCATGAAAGCCGCCACTCGGAGAAAAACCCCATGAAAAATTCCACTTAAACCACATCTAGGCGATGGTGAGATGGAGGGTCTGGGAAGGAAACTTCTTCCCTGGAGAGAGGCTTTTTTTGGAGGCGGTCCTTTATAGTGTCTCTTGCTCTCCCAGGCTCACTTTGGGGACAAATCCTGGAGGGAAGCGAAGGGCGAGTTGCTGGACGAGGAGGGCGACACCCCCTCCATTTTGCCCGGTGAGTCAGTTGAGGAGCCGACGCTGCTGAGGCTGCCATCCAGTAAATCTGGAGAGTGACTGAAAGAAAAAGTCAACATCATTGTGACTGACTGCCTTCCCAATATTACTTTAAAGCATTAGATTTAAATGTTTCTTTTTTTTAAAAACATACACATTTCTAGCAGGTATGTGTTCATGCGCTCATAACAAAGGCAGCTAGTCTTAGTAAGGATAGTGGTTTGGCTAAATAAAAACATACTGTAACAGTCAGAGCTGAGTTAAAAATGCACAATGAATACTGAGTAAAACTGTTCAAACATTAAAAAGGAATCAAATGTGGGATTTAGGAGAAAAATGCTTTCATCAGTGTACAATCCTCCCAAACTAAGAACTGCTGGGTTTTCAGTAGTTTAAAGTCAATCGTTCTCAAGTCACAATGAGTGTCATTGTATGGTGAGCATACACTGGAGCTTAATTTCTACTAGCTGTTTGGACATTTATTGATCCACAAAAGTCTTACCAGGAACCGAGATCCGACAGGTTGGAGACATCAGAAGACAACATGGTGGTGGTGCCCTGGAAGAGCCTCTTAGGCTGACTCTCCGTCTCCATCTCACCTGCAGAGAAAAGAGACCACTGACATTTAGAAATCTTTCTCAGTACACAAAGTCTGTGTACTGATCTAAAAGAGGACAGTTGGATGAAATGGTTTGTTTTATTGCAATCGTAATCTGACAGTATAAAAGAACAGATCTTATCGGCTCATTACCAGAGAGCCAATGCAGTCTCCAATAGTTAAACTGAAGAATTACCCTATGCATGTGACCAAAAGAGTGTCATGTGTTTATGTACCAAGAAATGCAAATGCATGAATATTAGAAAGATGTGTTCTGAATTGACCTTAATGCTACAGTTACCCTTGCGTGAGGTATCTCACCTTTGCGTTTCATTGGCCCAAGTATGCTGGCTCTGATGCAGTTGATTGGGCTTTGACTTCGTCGGCTGAAGAGCACAGAAAACACAGTTAAACCAGTATATTTTTAAAATGCAGCCACTATCAGCGGCCATCATATAGTTACATACACACCAGTACAAAATATGTCATCTTAAGATCCGTGATAAAGATACACATATCTAAAACATTCAGGCAATAAATAGCTGTAAAGTGCATAGAAATGCTTTGGTTTTTTTCCTACAAGACAAAAGGAAACCCGTTCTATGTCACCAGGGACAAATTAGACAAATTGGAGCCATCTGGTGCTACTGTAGCCTCACAGTAAACAGATGCTAATCAAACAGACATGTATTAGAACAAGAGTAAAGTGACACTGGTAGATTATAAAAAGGTTATTAACTGCAGCTATTACTCCAAGAGTTGGTTCTCACCTGAAGCGTCGCGTCGGGCTGGGTATCGGGCTGGGCGTTAGGCCATTGCTGCTCACAAGGATTTGTAGTGAAGGAGAGAAACACTGCTGCTTGCAAGAAAGTGAAATCACAAAAAGATACAGACAAGAAGGGAATGAGGTCAAAAGACATCAGCATCAACGCACCAAAATGAGCACGGCACCAGATTAAAGCAACATTTTTAGTATCATTCCTGTTGTATTAGTAAATTAAAGAAGTTGTATTTGTACAACTAAGGTTAAAACAGATTAGGCAACAACCCAACTGATTGATAGGTTATTTTATTGTAGCATGTATGAACCTTGTGTTCCCCCCAAAATATGGAGCAAAGGGCATGAATCAAATACAAAGAAGTGTTCTGTTACCTAATCGCTGGTGTGTGGTTTGAATTAAAAGAAATATATTTTCTTAAGCTGTGGCAAACTGGTGAACTAATTTACCCAAAAAGCTCGACAACAGGAGCCATGTTTTTGTGTTGCTAATAAATTGCTTCCTGCAGGCAGCCACACAGACATCCATTCATTAACCTGATTGCAAGTTGTTAGGAAAATCAAGTTACCGCAAATCTTGAAAATGCTTTTAACTGTTACCTTCATCTGGTTACTCCGTATAATCAGGTTATCTGCATGTAAACACACCGAGGTCAGATGTACCTTTTTTCCGATCCCTCTGGTTGGGGACGGGGCCGGCGACACAGGCACAAAGTCGATGCGCTTCGGAGACGAAGATGCGGACTTCTCCAAATCGTTGTCACTCTAAAAAGAACATACAAATAGCAGAAGACATTAATGGCCGTTACATCTTCCATCATATCCTTACAGCACGTTGTAGTTAGTCAGTTAGTTAGAGAGGGAATACAAATTATATTAGATATAAAAAACCCATGTGGGAGTATTATACTACCAACTCAGCCTGGCCTTCAGAATCTGGTGGCCCTGATAACTCCCAAAGTATTAATCTAGCATGTTTGCGCTTGTTCTCTCCACAGAAATCGAGAGACCAACAATGGCCCAGGGCCAAAACATGCAGTGGAAAGGTACAACGGAGCTCAGTTTCAAGGATTTAGAGGAATAGATCATAACAACAACACTGATGTGGGTTAGACAAACTGTAATCAAGAGGTCCTTCTTTACCAGACTAAGGCTTTCTTCCCAAGACTGGCTCATTTGCATGGCGGCTTGAACTTCCCTGTGTTTACAAAAATAAGAAAACAAGGAATAAGTTGATACTTTTAAAGCATTTCACCTTCAACTAACGTTATAATTCCACCAAATCTCTTCATCCAACTGCATTCATTAACACACAGCTTACCGCTCATGAGCAGTCTCTCGGTTCATCACGTCTACACCCTCCTCCTGCAACAGCACAAAAGAGGGTTAATGGTTATAAAGTCCTATTTTACCAAATCATCTTAGCTTTTCTGAATTACATACATTTTTAAAACTGATTTAAATACACATTTTATCTCATGCCACTGCAGTTTGAGTCAGGAGGTACAACCCCAATCTCATCTAAAAACCTACAACTGAGACTTCTTCCACATTATTTATGGAAATTAGAGTCAGCCAGTGGACACCAAAGTGACCTTTCCCCTCTGTTGGAGTCTGATACTACCAAATGATCAACTCTAAAAGATCGATGGCCCTGTGAACTCCAGGAATTGTTACTCTTGCATGTTGTATTAGACACCATCACTCCCTATGGCTCGAGAGGGAGACAGTGGTCTGACATGCTCCCCCCCCCAACATGAAACATCTCCAAAAACATGTTGAAAAAACCATCTTACTTGTTTTATCTGATGAAGTCTGGTGCTGGGGACGCGAATGGGTGACGAAGGGACCTGTAAAGAAGCACATGTGCGGAGAGAGAGAGAGAGAGAGAGCATTCAATGCTGAATACTTATGACACAAAAAGTAAAAAAAAAAAAGTGTGTTTGATTAAGATTTGTACCATGTTGGGCCTGTTGACAACTGTAGTGCTATTTCTCCGGCTACGCAGGACCTCTCTCTGGAACACTTGGGAGTTATCACTGGAATGACAAATTCACAGAGCAACAATATGTCATGTGTCTATTTCCCCCCCCTATGAGGTCAGTTCAACACTCACTTGAAGAGATTATGCAGTAAATTCTTGCAACTATATATCATATATTGTTGAACCTTAAGCCATTTATCATGGGTGCACTGTTGGATCTCCTCAAGTGTCCATCGCTCTGCACTAACGAAGATGGGATTTCCAGATCCAGCTCCATCTTTTCTGGAGGCAACACTCCTGAATTGTTCATTTTTTTCCCTTTTTTTGCAAACTCACTCTTACCCTTCTCACCAATTCATGAACTTAAAAAACAGGCTCACCAGCTCAGTGTGCGGTTACATTGTGGCTCTCCAAACTTGGCTTAAACTTTACATGTTTTCAATCATGCAGCCCTAGGCAAAAAAAAAAAAAAACAACCACTAGCCTACACACTGTAGTCAACCCACAGCAACCTGTAAAGGCCCTGCCGCCTGCACAACTCCAGTGTTGAAGCAACTTCACCCCGACTCTCTAATCATCAACAACCAAACACCTAGAAGTCTTCATATCACAGCTATATGGCCCCCCCCCTGCTCTAACGTTGACTGTAATCACCATGCACCCCCACCCACCCACCCTGATGGATGGTTAGCCTGCCAGTGGCTACATACCGCACAATGCCCGGGTAACTGCAGGCTAACCGACCCGGTAGTGGAGGCAGGGAGCCGGGGGGGGGGGAGACGACTGAACCGCCGCTAGCCTGTATCACTGCATGGTAGCGCGGTAAACCAGCTAACGTTAGCCGAGGACCAACCAGCAGCTTCTCTCTCTCTTGACTACAAAATAACTTTAAAGCGTAACGTTTGGCGACGTTAATAAAACTGCTGTTGAGTTAATGTAAAATTAAAAAAATAAAAAATAAAAAAAAAACAGCAGAATAAACGCGAGTTCTGGCTTACACAGCTTAATGCTAAGCTAAGTTAGCACCGACGCTAGTAGCCACACGGCCCATGTCCAGAGAGTGAAGGCCCGGGTTCACCGCTTCACTGCCGGGCTCCCGTCCACAACCAGCCGGGGGGGCTCCAACACAAACAAACCCTCGAATCCGTATCTTTTGTAAAACGCTCTACAAGTTGTTATTTTTCGTTATTTTTTTTTTTTTTTTTTTTCTGCAGGACGCCGCCAAGAATGAACCAGGAGCTCACACACACTCACACACACACATATACACACTCACATACACACACACACACACACAGAGAGAGCTGGCCTGTTAGCAGTAAACTTCACGCCCCCTTTTCTTTTAACGTTATCTGAGTCGTCCAATCAAATCGCTCCGTCAGCCGGCGTGCTCAGGCGGTATGTGGCGAGCTGTGTGTGTGTGTGCTCCAGCTCCTGGATGAACCCTTACACATTCACACAGCATGCAGTGTGAGTGGTAAAATAAATGCATCACACTTAAGAAAGACAACATTTTGCTGCATTAAAAAAAAATATATATATATATATATTTTTTGTTACCTGCTCTCCTCAGATGTTCTCCTGCCGGAGGCCCTGTGCAGATAACACTGGGAGGAGTGTGCCTGGTAAATCTGTTTTTATTTGTTATTTACAGCAGCAAAGCCCCCCCCTGCAAATAACTGCATGTTAATTATTATCATGCTACTTTTTGTAGTCTTAAAACATGTAATTTCCAAATTCACTTTTTAAAAAGGTCCTCAAAAAAACAAAACAAACCCATGTAAATAAAATAAAAAATACAAAAAACAGCATTACATAACAAACATACACTGGAAATACACAGATACAGACAACTTGCTCAATCTTTCCCACCCACATCCCACAGCCCTCGGTTAGTTAGAAACAGTGAGCTGAGTAATACATCAAGAGCACTGAAGATTATTACGTACACAGGCATTAAAGGCATAAATAGGTTGTTTTCACGAGGAAATAAAGATGCCCTGAAGGAATGGAAATAGTTATTCCAGTCAGATGGAGCTTTATATTTGAATTAATTGTTCTGGCAAATTTTTTTCCTGTTTTCATGAGTTATTTACAGCAGCAAAGCACTTCCCCTCTGCAAATAACTCCATGTTAATTATTATCATGCCAGTTTTTGTAGTCTTCAAAGTGGAATTTCTTTGAGGAAATCTACTCACACTATTTATAGTGTCTGAACTGGCAAAACCGAGTGTTTATGTAATCAGCAGCCAAAACATCCACAGTATTGATTTAATAAGAATCAGATTAAAACGAGTGAATGTAAGCATTTATAAACAGGGGCCTGGCGAAGGTTTGGTGTTTTCACTAACAGTGTAACAGTAAAAAGACTTAATAAATAATATAATTGAACTTACAAATAGACCCTTTTTCACAGCTGACATTTTGACATGAAATAGTAGGGTAAACCAGTGATATTGTTCCATTCAGGTTAAACAGAGTTGCTGCTGTTGTTCACTGGAAGAGGCTCTGCTGCACTAAATGAAACAGATTAATTAGTATTACAGGTAACACCAGTTCAAAATGGCCACTGTGAAAAAGGTCTTTTGTAATCCTTTGTTCAGGGTTTTCTAAATTTGAAAGTTTCAGGCTCAATCAGTACAAAATAAAACAAGAAATACAGGCGACAGTTTCATTTAAGGACACATTAATTGTACATGAAAAGGCACGGTGGGAGAAAAATAATGCTTTGCAATCACCATTTGTTCAAGAAGAAAATTGGCTTTTCAGCAATGTCTTTAATTGTGTAACCGCCTCTCAGTTAATGGTGACACACAACAGACAACATGTAATCACTGACCTACTGTACAGAGAGGCAGCTCGGAGTTCAACGTCAGACGACAACAACAGGTTCAACATTGAAGACCAATTTCTTGAAAGTCGGGAGGTCTGACACATTACACCAAATACTCATTTGAGGGAATAATTTCTTATCTGCATTCACCAGTATTTTCACCATCAATTGGGCAGAAATGATTTAAATGTTCCTAGTATTTGGTGTTGTATTGTACATAAAGATCTGTAGCAGGATGCACAAGTCACAGGAGGGGTGTGAACATTTAATTGCTGGTATTGCTGACATTGCATTACAAGGATGGCACAACTGAATGGGATAATGATGTCTAATTCAAGGACAGGTAGATACAGATTAAGTATTTCAAAACATATGATTGAATGACTTTTCGACAGTTCGACTATCAATTGAACATTTACACTTCTGTAAACTATACATATTTTCCAGCATTAAAAAAAAAAAAGTGTTCATTTAACATGTGAAGAAATTAGCTGCATGGACTCTTTGTTCAGACAAATAATCATAAATAAGAGGATATTTCATCTTCAGTATACCCATGTGTTTAATTAGGGACAGCAGATACAGAATGCATCTCAAGGAAAAACCTCATCACACAGCACAGTATGGAAATGTGTTTTGTCCCAAAAATATACATGCAGATTTCAAGAAAATGTAACATCCTCTTTAGGAGTTCCCATAAAACAGCCATTAATAGTTCAGGTAAAAGTAGAATTACAATAAAAGCAATATATAATAAAATAAGAGGTTGTTAAATCTTATCATAGCACAACAATTGTGGAAGTATTTGAAACATTTGCTCAGAATAAATTACTCCGTTGCTTAAAAAAATAATTAATCAGTGTGGGGGCATAGAAGCATTATACTAATTTGAGGTGAAGCTGGGCTCCATGCTGTTTAACCCAGACGTGGCTCTAATCTAAGGCAATCAATTTTTCTCCAAAGTTGAATCTAATGTGAGTGTGTGTGTGTGTGCGTGCGTGCGGTGGCTAAAACAGGCAATGCAGCTGTCAGGATTATCACTCCATCAGTGTATCCTCAGGGACCCTGAGCAGGCAGAATATATTTATGACACAAATGTGAAGTAATAAAATATAAAATTAATTCAAAAGGAAATTATATAACCATACATTGAAAATTGTTACGAACTGCTCTTCATGCCTTGTACTTCTCCTTCCCTGTTTCGCTAATGACGCAGATATGCTGAAAAAGAAAAAGGATCAATGAGCATTGCAGCATATTATTGATTTATGTATTTGTTTAAAGGGTCTTGACCTGGTCAGATGTGACATTAACACACAAGTACAAACTCTAAAAACACGAGCTACTTTACTTATTGTGTTTATTTATCTATCACAAATACTTACATTTAGATCTCTAAAGTACTCGTTGTAGTCTAGTGCGTATCCCACCACAAATTTGTCAGGAACCTCGAATCCCACAACTGAAAGAAACAGGTGAATAAATTAATTACTCGTCTTTGTTGTGGTAAACTAACAGTGAAATAAAAAGGCATGCAAAGGCTCATTCACAAAGCACAAAGATAAAGAATATGTGACAAATATTTGGAAATGGATCTATATTATTACAGTGGACTAGTGATAAAGACCCTTCTGTTAAGGGTTGGTGTAAAGTTTTATTCGAGCTGGTTCCTTCAGAATAACTTACAAGTATTCTCCTTAACAAAGCAGCTCTATTTGAATGAACCTGGACCTGATTTTTCTTCCATTATTTCACAAACAATCAATTGAAACTGAACTCTTGTAACCTGTAATTTACCTGCAACATAGACTATGTCCTGTAACCTCCTGTATGTTTGTTGAACTGAGCTGTTTTTGTGTGTTTATGTTACTTATATGTTTGTTTTATTGTTATTGGGGGGAAAATAAGACAAACACACTTTTTGGCAACTATACTTTGTAACATCTGGTACATTATAATAACTATAAATATTTAGATTAAATTATTTGTTGCATTGAACTCACAGTCCGGCCGGTAGCCAACACTTCTTGGTGTTCTCTTCACCAACAAACTGAGGACAGAAACCAAGTAAATCAATGTCGGGGAAATTCTTCCATAAAACATTCATCTACCACATCAGTCATGATACTTTATAGCTGCATGAAACACTGATAAGAAACAGTCTAAGGCATCAAAAACCGTTTTTAAGGGATCAAATTACCTTGCTACTTTAACCATTTTGGGATTGTACTGTTTCAGGAGCTGCAATAATGTCTTCATTGTCTTCCCTGTGTCGATAATATCCTAAAAAACACAGCATGAAAGAAGCTCAAATTAGTGGTCTTGGAATAGAAAGCAGTCTGCTTTACTATAGTAAAAAAAAAATATCAGTACATACCTCCACAATCAAGACATTCTGCGTAAAAAGAAAATAACAATTATTTTACAACAATGGACTGTTCACATTTCACCTTATTGACATGAGTGTTTCTGTATCTCCATTACTGTGATTACACAGTTGTTCTGTATATCAGTGAAGAGGTCTTAGTAAGAAACAAGGTACTCAAAAGAATCAATACTTTTTTGGTACCAGGTGTTTAAATTGATCCTAGAATACTGTCATTCTATCAAAAAACACAAAAACAGATCAGATTTTTTATTTCAACCCAACGTTGCACACATGAAACAACAGAGGGAAAACTGACTGAATACGAATATTAATGTTGAATGTAATGTAGAGACTTTCTTTCTGTACCAGCACTGTTTGTCGCTTGTTAATATATAAAACAATCTTATTTTTACTTTTTGGTATCGAGCATCGTTTTTCTTAATGCTAGTATTGCATCCGTTAAATATTCTCATACTGTGACAATCTTAGTAAGAAACTGTGGGAGCTATAATGAGAGTGGGAGAGAGAAGGGATTTCTACCAAGAAACCGATACAGAGTTATTGGCAGCTGACAGATAAACAGATTTGTTTTCTAGTCCGACAATCTGTCTGTCTGACAACAGAAGATGTGCCTAAATCAATAAATGAAAGCACTTGGTTTGCTCAAAATATCTGTTAATGTTAAAAAGAATGGAAACATGTATACATATATGATTTTATATACAACAAATATTGTTATAGTCATAATCATGCAGCCCTGCGTACTTCTTACCTTGCCTGTCAACGTAGAGAGGTCATCTCCCCCAATTACTTTGATTTCACCTGTTGACTGGTCGTTCTGCGAGGACAAGAAGAAAGTGGACATGTTTCAGACTTCACATTATCAGTTGTATATGCACAAAATGTACAAAAATGTAATTCAGTTTTTCTCATCAAAACACATTTTGTGTATCACATTAAAAAAGTCCAGTGTGTAACATTTAGGTGGATCTATAGACAGAAGTTGAATATAATATTTATAGGTATGTTTTTATCATTAAAATTAGGCTTTTATATCTACAGATGTGGGTCACCATGTTGAACCGCCGTGTTTCTACAGTAGCACAGAACAGACAAACCAAACACTGGCTCTAGATTGGGCCGTACTTTCTTCTTCTCACTTGGAAGGGAGAAGCGAGGGAGTTGTGATCTGAAACTACACTGCTAAATGCCACTAAATCCTTCACACTGGTTCTTTAAAAAAAAAAAAAAAAAAAGTGATACAAAGAGTGGAAAAGTAAAATAATAGATTACACAGTAGCTCTTGAGGCGAATGAAGTCCACTGTCATTGGGATAGAGCGGTCGCTGTTCCTGTTCAAGGCCTTGATGTAGTCCAGCAGGTCGGCAAAGAACTTGTAACCCCCTTTGAGCACACATAGGGCCACAATGTGGTGGCCCCCCATTTCCCTCATGATTTCTCTGGCCAGTCTCTCTGTCCTGGGGTCACGTGGACGGGAGAAACAGATAGAGGGAGAGCGAGAGAGAGAGAGAGAGAGAGGACAGTCAGCTCGGTTTTCTGCTACGGTCAGCAGTAGTTCTCATTTCCTTTTTGTTTGTGTCAGCTAGCAGAGCTGCCACTTCTAAAGCAAGAATAGACGTACAGTTGACAGAAACTACCAAAAAGATTATCTGCATTAATCAATCCCAAATCTGCAAATGGAAAATAAAAATATGATCACATATTTAACACCATCTCACACAATGTGAAATGGTTCCAGACTTTATTTATTGTGAAGATTAGCTTCACAAAACACATTGACGTCACTTTGAACCACCACTTACTGAACTTCTTCTAACCCCTTTTTGTTTAGACCAAGCATTCACACAACCCACCTTTCAGTCGACACTGAAAGTCGCATTTTACTACAACAAGCTGTCAAACAACGTGTCAACCCACCTGTCCAAGATGAGTCCATGTGGGATGTAGACCCTCTCCAGGTCAGAGGCATAGTGCTTTGGTATGCAGAAAAGGTCCAGGTCATATCCCTGCTCCTCATCACTGATCTGAAATAAAACACGACACAAAAAGGGGTTAAAAAAAAATCTCAAGGGTATTACCTAACATGGGAGCATTCATTTGATACGGGGCAGGAAGAGGTCAGTGGTGGTCTGCTTTCCCACCGACTCCCTCCATATATTCTCCTGCCTCACACAATCAGTCAACAATGCTTGATTCTGTACGGTTTAACAAGCAACAGACAGTTGTCAGTGGTGGTAAATACTACTTTAACTCTTAGAAAGAGGAATCTTTCCATGTTAATCATCATTACAGTGTCAGTGAATTCTTTCCTTTGCCACTACTGAAGCTCTATAATAAGTTAACATGTTGTCTAAATAACAAGATCTCAACAACTGAGAGGTCTTTGCAGAAATCCCATAAGATGTTTAATTCTATAAAATGCTAACAAGTATTTCTTATATTTTGTAAAATCAAATTTCCTGCTCTAGCACAACTGCTTGCCACATGAACCCAGACAACATAACTGGTATCATGTGACAGCTGGGAAGCTGGGGCCGAGCTCGAGGTGCTGTGGGAATGATGTGAGCGACCATACCACACTCAAAAGTATTTGTAACAGTGCAGAACTCGGATCCTCCCAAAGTCAACGCAATCGCTTTATTAACCACCGGATTACAAAGTTCCCATCCTCACATCATGTGGTTGGACTTGAAATAAAAGCATTCCCCCTTGTGCCCACCAAAACTGGAAAAACACACCCATCTGTTTGGACTACACCCTTTCAAATCCAAATAATGGAGATTGATACCGAGCAGATGTCAGTGTGGTAACATAATCCGAAGGAGTATCTTCTACTGTTGGCTTGTTGCCTGTTATTTAAGGTACAAAGTAGTAGGTAAAACACAAACACACACACACACAAAACCCATTTGATAAGCTAGTCTGAGGTCAGTGTAGGGGCTATCTCAAACAGAGTCCATGTTTGGCAACAACACTACACACTGCAGCTAATTCGATTTAAAATGTGACACAGGAAACAGATCTTCCACTGTCTATTAATGCAGTTTTACCAAAATGTGCATTTAGCTTCATTACAGCAAGTGGTTTCTGCCAGGCTGCTGGCCAAAGTTCATCACAATAAAAACACACCGGCTTCCAAAATGCTGGAAAAGTCCTGGAAAATAAGCAACACTGGTGGTTTGTTTACTCATTCCAGTATAGAGGATATCGTAGGCGAGTCAACTTATCTGTAATATGTATTAAAAAAACGCACACAGATCCCATGAAGAATGATACAAAACTGTAATAACACAGCTGCACCAGTTCAGACTGAGACAACTTCCACAGAACAAAGACGAACAATAACAGGTGGTAAGATATTAATCTATGGAGTCAGCTGTTACACTTTAAAGCATGCATATCTAAATTTATATTACCCGTGACACCACAATAACCACTGATCCTCAGATTACTTCACTAAAATCCTATTGATTTCACAGTGGGGAGAAGTAATGTGCTCTCCTCCCTTTTCCAGAAACAAAACAATGAATACATAAATATATATTTACACTCGTGCTCAAACACGCCCCTTTTGTTTTGTGTCTGCGTGTAATTACTCTAACAAAAACCTGCAACCAACTCGTTCACATTATGTCCAATGTGCCCATAAATAAAAAAATTTAAAAAAAACCTCCCTCTTGCGTCACGTACGCAGAGCGTGGAGAGCGCGTGTCTTATCACCATAGCCGCAGGCCACGCGACACAGGAAACACACATTAATACACAAACAAACAAACAAACAAACAAACAAAAAAGGTGTTACAGAGGTATGCAACACACACAGGTAACCAACAACCACTAAACCTTACAGTGTGTGTGAGCTGCAGCGAAGGCAGAGGGGGCCGCGTGCAAGTGGGCTCGCTAACCAACGACCAGCTTCAGTCTGCAGGGGGGGGGCTTACCACAACACAGGGGCTGGATGTCGCCATGTCCGTGTGGGTCCCTGCCGGTGGAGTTGTCTGTAGGCTGCGGGAAGAGGAACAGTATTCGCGGTCTCTTCAACCTTGGGTCAGCACACACATGGAGGCGGGCTGCAGGAGGCGGCTGTCTTCTTCCGGGCTGCGGCTGTTGTGTGTATGGTGACGCAGGAGCGCGGCGGCCAATCAGATGAGGAGGGACGGGTTAGCCACGCCTTGTTTTGGGGGTAGGGGTATGAACTGATGTGAATGTGTTGTTAAGTAGCACCAGTGGGGGTAGTGGTGAATGGGGAGGTGGGTATGCTCTTAGTTTATGCTTTAAATTATTTTTTTTTTTCTCTCTTGCATATTTAGTTCGACCATAAATGGCCCAGTAGTGTTTGCACATTGTCTTGAACTTCTGCTGTTTGACTTCAGGCAGGAAGGATAATTATGAAATTAACATTATCCACAGAGGAATCTGGCCCGCAGACCACAAAAAAGGGTGGAAAACTGTGTCATGCCTTTGCCATCCTTGGAAAAACAAACCAGCTAGTAGCACACATTGACAGTATATATAACTATACACAGTGCTGAATAATGGGCATCAGAGGGGATTTAAATGTGGGTATACACAGTGCTGACTGAAATATAAGTTGGGTGGTGCAGCCTGTCCAAAAAAAGGCTAAACATCCTGTGTTATAAGACTACTTCTGCCTATTTAACCCACCTAAACATGGGCCCAGTAACCTCTGTACTTCCAGTAACTTAACTTCTGCTGCTTGACTTCAGGCAGTAAGGATCATTATGAAATTAACATAAGCCACAGATGACGTGCAGACTTTGCAAATAAATACAAACCTACAGATGGGTGAGAAAACAACCTAATAATGCATTTTAAGTTGACTATTCCTGATTCCTTACTCCATGTGGGTGTACTCTGTATACCTGAGTAGCACCGATAGGCCTGACTCTTAAGAGTAGTCTGTACTTCATAACCACGACCTTGGACTGCCGCACAAAACTACAGATTAGCTCTTTAGAGGATGATAAGAATAGCGAGAGAGCAGGTTGATTATGCATTTTGCAACAGACCTTTTTCACAACTGCCGTTTGACAGGAAATAGTAGGGAGAACAAAGGTTAGCAATAATGAGAAACTGAGAGAAACTGAAAAAACCCCATTAGTACAAAACACTACAAACGTTTCTAGAAGTTGCATAGCATGTAGTACTGAATTGGGACAGAGCATAACTTAATAAAACTGAGCTGTACAATAATGTAAACAAATATTTAAACTGTATATTTTTTCCTATCATATATACATCAAAATATAGGCAGTGTTAGGGAAGAATAATATTCCTGCAGGTTTACCATGAAAGTAGTGTCTCCTATTTGTAATACCCTCAAAATCTTACTTGGTTACTATAAATGTTTTAGCTTAGTTGTGATTTAAGTTCTGGTATTTAACATAAAGGCTTTACTTGAATCACTATCAACATATTTACTGTCACTACTACATCAAGATACTGTAGCATATATCTAATGATGACTTGTTTAAGTGCATAAAATATGTATATTTATATAAATTAAATGTACACATTCATCCGTACAAAGTACTTTTTTTTATACGGGAATATGTTTGGGCCTCACAGTGCATGGAGAGTTTACAGCTTGCACAGTTGCATGGTCTGACCTGCAGCCAGTGTGACATTCCTCACTCTTCATACCTCACCAGAAATCTTCACCTTTAACACCCTGTAACCAGTCATGAATACTGCTTTGTTTCTCGCAGACACACTCTCAAAATGAAAAGACTCAATTCACTCGTTAAATGTGTAAAATAAAATCTTTCCTATTTCCAATCATTCATGGATACATTTGTAGAGATACAAGTAACAGTACATCAAACAAAGTCAAGCCAACTCTTCTAAAGAGCTATACTTTGCTCTTTAGCAGGTAAATAAAAAAATGCCACCTTTAACAGTGGGGAAAATCGAAGTGCATGCTGGCAAAACTTGTAATCGTGACTGTTTGAAATCCAGATATTCAAAATTACTCATGATGATAATACAGTAGCAAAATATTACATATCAAGAAAGAAAGGCTAACATCAAAAGAGTTTTTCTTAAGACATGATTACAGAAACAAAGTAATCAAACTGCACAACTTGATAGAGAGACTAGTAACAAACAGACCCATCTTAAAAGTGAGTCCTTCAGAAGCTAAGGAAGAGCAAGAATGTGTTGATTTCAGCAAGTGTGGGTCATGTAATCTGTGGGGGACACGGGCAGAGGGTGACAATCGAAACATCAGTCCATCGGCTCTTATTCACGGCAATAACGCATGTATTTTGAAACCGAGCCCATAGCTGACTCTTTTTTTTTGGGGGGGGGGGGGATTGCCAATGGCTTTTCATGATCCTGCAGCAGTCCAGTGCTCTGCAGAGTACCACCAGTTTGTAAAAAGCTCATCTAGCCAACTCAAAACAGAGTCTCATGAAGAAGACGTCTGGCGCACATTGGGGCATCATGTCCATTTACTGAGAAACCGCGTGAGGGACTCGTGGGAGCTTGTAGACCACGACGGTGTGAATCGGCTAAGATTTAGTATAAAAAATATCACTCCCTCGTCTTTGAGTTCTTCTGTTTTCATCCCACCTCACAGCCATCGGGCAAACCTGTAAGGATGGCACCAATGAAATGAAATGAATTATTGCTGCTGCTAAAAGGCTGAAACACTCACATTAAATGTAGACATTTACATGTTTGTAGGAAACAACCATAACTGTTAATGTACCTAGTTGCCATTCACTTGTGTCGATGGTGTTCCTCCGTGGTCGATAGCTGCCCTCTCTCTACTGCGATTCTCTCGTTCCTCATCTTCCTCATCCCTCTCCTCGTTACCACTGTGGTTCTTACAGTATAGTCTGAAAACACGCACACACACACGCAGAGGAGGGCTTGTAAATAAGTCAAGGTGTTAAGACTTAAAAGGAACCAGTGTGTAGTATTTAGCGGCATCTAGCAGTGACGTTGCAGATTGGTGTCTGTGTTTGGAAACCAGGGAATGAGAACGGGCTCTGACGTGTGTTGAAGACAATATGGTGGTCGTGAAACTCTTCCAAAAAACGTAAATGGCCAGCTTCACACTGTGCCAGCGATCAACAGCTGGCTGTGGTAAATAAATGTCGACACAAAGTTAGCTAACGTGGATGTAAAGCATGCACAGAAGAGAAAATCTCCATGCAAAATATATAGCATTATACAGTCAAATGATATTTCAATCCAACTGTGAAGTACTTTTATTTTTAACTGAAGATGTGTTTATGTGTATAAGTTGAGCTCACTTGTAAATGCCACGTGCCATGTTTTCAATGTACTTGGCTTTGTCCTGCAGGCCGCAGTGATAGTGGTAGGTCTTCACACATGCTTTGATTTCACACCCGATGGTGGCACCCAACTGAGTGCAGAGCGTGCATTTCTAGAAAAACAACAAAGTCAACAATTTCGAATTAAAAAGTGACATGTAGTTTTTAAATTTTTTCCAAAACTGTTTTTAAAACTACAGACAGACAAATCTTCCTACCATTCTTTTCCCTCTCTTTATTTCCTGGATGACTGTTTTCACATCAAAGTTTCCAAATTCAGCCCGTGATGTAGTGGTCAGCTGTACCGTCCCCGATGAAAAAAGCTAGAAGGGATCATAGATTACAGAAAGATAAAAGTGGCTGTACTGTAAATGCACATTTACAGCATAAAGGGTTCATAAACACACACATATAGACACACACAACGATCTTACCATGCACTTATAGTGTGCAGCCACTTTTTTGGAGTTATCAGAATGAAGCATGCCCCTTGTTTCATTCTCCTCATCACCAGCGTGACAAAAGCCACAGCGCTGGCCGCCATCTCCCGGGCTGGCCCGTAGAGGTGACCTGTCCCGCTAGAACACACAGAACAACGTTCAAAACCCAAGGCCCACATGCAGCAAACAGAGCGAAAAGTAAACTTCACAGATTGCGTTTGTGAATAGCCTTACGTGGGAGGAACTCTCCTCATCTGCTGCCTGTGACGAGGTGGAGCGGGAGTCTTCTGATTGACCACGAGATCCAACTTTGGTTCTCCCTTTCTCGAACCTTCCTCTGCCTCTACTTTGTGGAGGCGATGAGTCTGAATCATTGGCCACACCTCCCTCTTCATCTATGGTATCAGAATTTGTCATTACAACACATTTCACAACGATATAAACAATCATCTTGAGAATATTATGGTTACGTCAGAGTCCTGCACCAGGTCAAGTACACACTGGGTAACCCACAAAAAAGTGTGACGGGATAAAAATATATTTATATAAATGAATAGGCAGATGTAAAAATGAACTAAATGCGGGCGAGCAGCGAGAACGTTGTTGTTTTCTGGCGAACTCAGTGATGAAAATGACTGCAAAGTATTTAAAACATCTAAATCAGCCGCCAGAACTTGTTTTTATTGCGAGAGCCGCTCAGCACATCGTCCCTGAGGAGACAACATACAGCTGCAGCAGGAGCACAGGTGCTGCCGCGTCAATGCACAGATACAGAACTCTCTAACTGCACAGGAAGACAAGACAAGGAACCGGTTAGCTGTAAATATTGTGTGTCGGGACGCCAGATTGTTTCAGACTGTGTGTGGTGGTGGTGGATTCAGCGAACTGGCACAAGGCTCCACTGACATTGGTGCCCAGCTGGCCGTGTGAACGCACCAGCAGAATAGTGAGTAGCAGCATAGTTGGTCACTGATGCTGCCAAATAGACTACAGTTAATTATGATTTGAATTCATGTTTCTACCTGTTTTACTTAAACAGTAGAAATTGGACTGTGTGTGTAAGCATGTGTGTCAGGTTGCAGGTCACAAGTTTGTAAAACTGGACCCGTGCAGGACTCTTGATGGGATCTAAGTGTTGTTTGTATGTGTGTTGCAACTGAAAGAAAAACCAGGCACACAGCTGTAAATCCAATCATCCATGTTGCCCAGTAGTATAACAGATGTTAAAGCAAACTTTACCTTGAATGCCATCTTGAGACGCATCCCGGTGTTTGCGACAGTAAACACTATGTTCAGGAACAAAAGACGTATATTTTAATTTAATTACAACACAGGAAATAAAAAATATCTGTATTTATTGTAGACT